GCAAAGCCAGGCTCCGCCTGGGCCTCGGCCCTTGGGGGCTGCAGGGAGGCCTGGCCCCCTATCCGTTCCGCTTCCTCCCCTGCGCTACTCCCGCCAGTCACGGGACCGGGTGGGGGGGGAAGAGTGGCGGTGTTTGGAGGGGTGCTCCGCATCCCGGATCTGGACCTTCTGAATTTCAGCTCTTGGACCTTTGATCAAACTCTCGGATTTTTTGGTCTCCTTTTGACAGGATTACATTTGGGGAGGGGCAGTTAGGAGGAGCGGTGCTGAAAGGAGATAGAGTGACACAGAGGCAGAGGCGACAGTGGTGTAGGCAGTGGGCTGGGCCAGCGGCTGCCGTCTGGGCGGGCTGGGTGGGGTTCCCGCCCTGACACTGGCCAGCTGGCTTGTGTTAAAGCGCGGGCTGAAAATAACTCTCATTGTCTGGGAGCTGCTACTGCAGCAGGCCTGGCTGTGGCTGCCAAGGGGGCAGAGGCGGCAGGAGCGGGGACCGCCCACCTCCTTGGGCTCTTGCCCTTTGGGAGCAATGCCCAGCTGGCCACAGCTGTGCCTACTGCCCACCAGTAGAGATCCGAGGAGGGCAGGCTGGGCCACTCCTAGCGCTCTGTCCTTTTGGCAACTGGGGACGGGCCTTTGTGCCTGGTGTTGCTTGCTTTGCTGTCGCCTTGGGCAGGGTCGATGGTCTGTGAGGGAGCGCGGGGCCGGAGCGTGGAGCTCCAGCTCCTCCTACAGCAGTCTCCTGGGCTCCCAAACCTTGTGCCTCCTCACCACACTGTGCCCGTCTGCACAATGGGCTGATCTGTGGGTGCCCAAGAGGACTTGTTGGCAGCTGTGGCCAGGGGCTCAGCGGCATATGGTGCCCAGGACAGTGTCTCATTTCGTCTCTGGGGAAGTTCCAGCCTCAGCTTCCCAGGCTCCCCACCCCCGTGGGCTGAGCATGGGGACTGGGCCTACCATACTTAGGAGAAATGTCAGCCATAATGGACCTGGTGGGGAGACGGTTCTGAGGGGGGAAACACTAAGAAAACCAACTCACATTCTGTATTTGCTCAGAATAAACAGTCCCTGCCTGACTTCCTTAAAGCCTCCAGAATCCCCTTCGCAGGAAAGTTTCAGCCATCCCTCTCCCTGCCTCTTAGCGGAGCTATGCCTGTGTTCATTTCGGTTCTTAAGATTCCTTGAGATTGACTGGGACTGACAGAAACAGTTGGGAGTTTTTGGTGGTTCCTATTTCTGTTGGTTGGGTTTTCCCCAGGCCCGGCACAAGGAGACTGACAGAGTCAGGGGTGAGTCCCAGAGCAGGACCCACACCTTCGAAGGAAACTCCAACACCACCGGCATTTCCCTTCCCCTGCGATGGGAAGGAAATGAGGAGGGGCTAACTGGCTAGGGGTACAGAGCAGGAAAGGGAAGGGAACCTCTGTGACCAGAGCTACCTCCTTCCTCCTTGGCTTCACTGGGGCTGACAGGGGTTGGGTAGGGAGTAAGGAAGCCTTGCTCCCACAGAACCCAGGAGGGGGCTAGGCACTGAGCAGGGCTCTGTGCCTGACCTCAAACTGGCAGTAAACCAGAACAGCCCTGCTGGGGAAGCATCAGATCCACCCCTTTCTGCTGCTTCCCGTTATAGGTATTTATTGTTAGATTTCTGGCTGGTTGCTCTGATGTAGGAATCAGTCTCAGAGTTGCTTTCAGTGTGAGTTCATCTCCCTCTTCTCCCCCATCTCTCCAGGGTCTCCCTCCTCAAGGATGTTGGTATTTAATTGCCTCCTAGTCTTAGGGTTGGTGGGGGACGAGGGGGTTGGGGGTAGGTGTAGAGGATGGTTGTGTCCTGAGTGGTTGAGAAACTGCGCTGAAGGAGGGACAGAGGCAGAGATCGAGACAACCCAGAAGCAAGAGGGGTCCTTGGGCTGTCAGAGCATTATCCGGGATTTTCAGGAGGAAGGGGAAGGAGACTGCGGAACACCCACGGTGTTCCAGACACATCCGGATATAAAATATCTATCATTTAATCCTCATAAACCCCTGTGAAGTAGTGAGATTATCTCCATTTTATGGATGAGCTCTGAAGATCCCACAGTTGATCTCGGGCTCTCTGACTCTGCATTCAGTGCCTCTGCTCCAAGACAGCCGTGGCCCCTTTCTGTTCAGCAAGGGTTTCAGGGAGCAGGTAGCAAGGACTGAGCCTGGCCTCTGCCTTACGAGAACTACCCGTCGCTGCAGAGCCACTGAACAAAAATGTCAAGGAAACACACCTTTGACGGAGACCCGAACGTGTCAGGTTTGTTCCCTGGCTGTCCCCGGAACTCAGGAGGTTGTCCTTCCTCAGGACGTCAGAGCCCTGCTGAGCTCACGCACGTTATCGGGTGGCTGCAGAAGCCCTAGTCCCTTGTCTGGCGCGGAGAGAAGCCCAAGGTGGGTGGCTCCCGCCCTGTAGTCGGGGACCGACTTGGTGTGAGAGTGCTGGAGGCTGGGGGGAATTCCCCTACCCACTTCCTTCCCAGTCACACTTGGGCCCCAAAGAAACAGAAGCCGGCATCACAGTCCAGAAAGTGCCACCCAAAGCTCGAGACTGGAGCTTGTGGGTCTGTGGTCAGAGCTGATTCATGCTTCTGCCACCCGTGTCCATACTCCGGGGGTGGGGGGCAATCTCTCCTGGGCATCTGAAGTTTGAACCCTGATGTGCCTCTTCCACTCTTCCATGCTTTTATGCTAGGGTTCCCAAAGGGGGTGACTTTGTTCCATCTTCCAAGCCCCCGGGGCACCGACATCTTCTCCCCAGGTCACCTTGTGGGGAAGCGTGAGGCCGCAGCAGCTGACAGTGGGTGGCTGAGGAAGTTGGTGTAGACAGGATGTGATGTCTGCCACAGTAGTGACAGGCTCCCCACTTCTCCACCAGTTGCTTTCTTCCAGGGGAGACAACTATTTTCTATTTCCATGGCTTGGACTTGGGAGAAATGGGCAGAAGACAATGAAGTGCTCGAGATGTGCCCAGAGCCAGAACCAGGCCTGAGGTCTGTTTCTTCTCTGGTCTCACTTGGGCTTAGCCAGCAACAGCCTTGTTGTGGTTAGGAGGGAGACCTTGGTCCGGGCTCACCTTCAACTTTTGGGTCCCTGTTTTGTTGTGGCCTCCTGCCTCTGTCCTCCTCTCCACACAGACATGCTGAGAATGGCCCTTAGCCAAGTGGTTTCAGAGAGAACATTCGGGATTGTATTTGCCCGACCAGCCATCCCTCCTGCATCAGCAGTGGAGGAGGGGGGGATTTGATTAGCCCCTGTTTCCTGCAAGAGTGCAGGCAGACTCACAGGGCAGCAGAAATTGTGAAGAGGGGTGTGATGGGTGATGCTCTTCCCCTTCTTTTCTTCTCTCCTTTGCCCCATTTTGGTATTCCTAGACACTGATCAAAAATCCCAACCACACTCCTTTTTTGAGCCATAGTGACCAGGTTTCCAGCCCAGAGCTGGGCCCATTACTCCGAACCAGGATGCCTTAACCCTAGGCTTACCATCCACTTCCTCTCCACTAGGTGCCTGTCACACATCATCAGGGGTTGGAGACCATATGAATAGACACAGTCCTTGAGGGGCTAGATGAGTGTACAGCTAGTTTAGTAGGATGTGTGTAGGTAAATGCATAATAGATATGTCTAACAGAAATAAATGATTTTTAAGGTTTTTCTTTCAATTTCTTAGAAAACGGAAGGCCCACTCCCAGGATGCTCCCACTTCTGGAATAATGCCTGGCTGTGTGACTCCTTGGGATCCTGGGTGCACACAATTCGTGTCCCCAGAGATGAGGATATCAAGGAGTGGGCAGATAGATGGAAACCCATTGGCCATGCTTGGGTGCCCAGGAAATTAGAGCTGAACTTGGAACAGCAAGTAAGGAAGAGAAAGAGGAGAGGAAGGCCTTCCAGGTGGCCTGTAGCCTGCTGGGGGTAGGGGCTGGATTTGTGGGAAGTCACAGCTATGATACTTGAGGTAGGAGATCATATTTGATTCGGGAATATGGGGCGAGGGGCAGGTGCAGCGATCTGCCTTGAGAGGCAAGGGCTGTGACCTATAACAAAGACAGCCGCACTGGATAGAAGAGAAGGTTGGCTAGGTGGGGATAAAGGAGGGGGAGTTAGGGCTGCTGGCCTGCGTAGGACTAGTCCGGGGGTGCCTTGGGCTTCCCTCACTCCTGCCCACTTTTATTTCTTTATTCATTCAGCAAACAGTAGTGAGCGAAATAAGATGACTCCTGGTCTGCCCTTCCATATTCCAGGTTAGAGTGTCTTTCAGGAAGGGGTTAGGACACTTTCCTGTGTCTTAATTGGGAGGTGTGTCATAAGTAACTTGCTACTAATAATTAAAATGCTGAAATTTTGTAAATGATTTCCTTAAAAAATGAGCTGTTACCTTTATGCTAACGTCCTTCTCGTGTACTCGTATCCTGATATGGGGCATAGGCTAAACGCGTGCCATCCACGCAGGCCGTGGCTGGCTCAGGATCCACCCGCGGTTGTGCATGACGCAGGAAGGCCGTGCATCCCTCAGGCCGTGGGTGAGAAGCAGATTGAGAGCTGCTGTTTCAGACAGGTGGCTTTGGAACGTTTTTGCCCTGTCCCAAGTTAAGAAACACGTTTTATGGCATGACTGGTGTGTGTGCATATGTATATGTATGTACTTAGAATATAAAAGAAACAAAAGCTTCATGAAACATTCCATTTCCTACTTGTAGGGATTTCTGGTATCTTCTAGCCTCTTCTATTTTGATCTGTTTGTTTTCATTAAAAATAAAGTTAATCTCGACTCACTAAATTGGAAAACATTGCTCAACCAAACAACTAAATATGAAGGGGAGGCAGAAGGACTGTCACACCCCTCCGAGCCTTCCTTAGCAGCCACAGAGTGTCAGGGTGAAGCCGAGGGCCCCGGAGGGAAAAGGTGTGCGCGCTCTCCCTTTCTCTCCTCTGGGTGCAGGGAGCTTTCAGCCCTGTTGACTCAGGTTCTCTCCTCAGAGCTCCATGAACCTGCCTCCCGACAAGGCCCGGCTCCTGCGCCAGTATGACAATGAGAAGAAGTGGGATCTGATCTGTGACCAGGTATGGGGTTTGGGGCGAGGCCCAGGAATAGGGGTTGTGTCGTGGGCTGGACGAGGCAGCAGGGCCAAAGGCACTGACCACAGCCCTGGGGTCCCTTGAGAAACCCTGGCCTGGGCTTGGCCTCAGTCCGTGCTCGCTTCCTGTCCCAAGAGGGCTCTCTTAACAGAGATGGGGCTAGCAGGCCAAGTTCCCCTCTAACGCCTGCAAAGAGCTGTCTTGATTTCTTCCTGATGGGCAGTAGCCTGAAGGAAGTTTGTGTTGGTCTAGGCTGTCTGGCTGTCTGCAGAGGGAGTTGGGTAGCTTTCCCAGCAGAGCCTGTTTCTGCCTTTCCCCAGGGTGAGGGCTCTGCCTGGCACGGTAGACCAAAGGACCCTTTCTCTCTCACTCTGCCCCAGCCCTGGCACCTCGGGTTTTTCTCATCATTGACAGGCCTCTAGGAATGAGAAGACCCAGTCCCCTATAGTCTTCTGTTCCCAAATCTCAGAAAATGAGGATTGGAGGGCGCCTGGGTGGCTCAGTTGGTTAAGCGACTGCCTTCGGCTCAGGTCATGATCCTGGAGTCCCGGGATCGAGTCCCGCATCGGGCTCCCTGCTCGGCAGGGAGTCTGCTTCTCCCTCTGACCCTCCTCCCTCTCATGCTCTCTGTCTCTCATTCTCTCTCTCTCAAATAAATAAATAAAATCTTAAAAAAAAAAAAGAAAAGAAAATGAGGATTGGAAGCTCTCCCTACATGAACAGTATTTCGAGCTGGAAGAGACTAGAGAGATTATTACTTAGCTCAGAACTGAGAACCAGGACCTATGGCCTGGCTCTTTCCCCTGCACACATTTGAATTTCACAGGTCATGAGTTTCTGAACTCCGACAGGCCTGTCTGCACAATTAGGAGAGTCCGCTTTTACTTGCTTACCTCTCAGGAGGCATGGAAGCGCCTGGCACCGCACATAGTCAGTGTGCTTACCCAGCACTTCGTGATGGAGCGGTCACAAATTTGTGATTTCTTTTCAAGCCCTGGACAGAATCGTAACAGCTAACATTTATTAAGTACTTATGGGGGACCAAGGACTTTACATATATTGAAATATCTCATTTAATCCTCGCAAAAACCCCCTGAGGAAGGCACTGTTACATTTTATGGGTGAAGAACTCGAGACTCAGTACCGTGCCTGACACTGGAACCAGGACGAAGCAGCCGACCCCATCTGTGCTAGCTCTTATGTTCCACTGCCTCCCAAATCAGGCTGCTTGACATAAGGTAGAATTATGCTTCAGAGCTCCTAGCCCGGGTCCCTTCCTCTCCAGGGAAGGCCCGTTTCCTCGTGTTCTGCCTTAAGCAGAGCTGGTGAACGTGGTGAGCTCCTGCAAGGGGGTTGGAGAACAGTAGCTTGTTGGTACTGAGTTTCTTTAATTGATGATCTCCCAGTCTTTTCCAGGTCACATAATTGTGACTGTTTCTCACGCCTTTCTTTTTTCTTTCATTTTGTGTTTAAGCTCTACTTCCTAATATTAGATCATTCTCCCTGAACCCTTTGCAGCACCCCTACCCTCCAACTCCTCAGATATCTCAGGTGTGAAGGCCCTAACAGGATCAGAATGCTTAAGAGTTTTCCCTTGGGTCTGATGCAGGGGTTGGACCAAAATGGGGAGGGCGTGGTCCCATGGTCTTCATGGAAGGGGATCGAGGGATGACCTCGCCAAAAGTAGGTTTAGCATTTGAGGTTGCCTGGGTTGTCGGGGCCTGGGGTCTGGGCAAGGAACAGAATGTGTGTTTGTAGCCTGAATGTGTTAGTGCTGCGAAGCTGGTCCGATCCCAAGTCTGGGTTCAGGGCTGACACAGTTGCATTCTACAAGGCCTAGCTCCTCTCTCCATGGCCCTCCTAATCCCGAGCCATCAGTTAGCTAGGCAGTGAAGACCGCTTCTAAGTTGTATCTTTATTTTGGGTGCCGTTCCCAGCTCTTTAATCCCCACATCTTCGCAAGCAACAGGCTCTTAAAATAATTTTCAACATAGAAAAATATTTTAGGCTCAGAGATCACTAATTGGAGAAGGGGAAGATGGCAGTAGATGAGAAGCGTCTGAAAATCAGCCAAGGAAGAGAACCTTTGGTTTGGATGATGTTAAGGGCCAGCTGACAACTTTAGAGGAGGCTGGGTCCCCTCACAGTGAACACCATGAGGGTTTGACTTCCTCAACGCTGTCCTCAGAACTCTGGGTGTCTGTGCGCACACGCGTGTTTCCCTCACAGGAACGGTTCCAGGTGAAGAATCCTCCCCACACTTACATCCAGAAACTCCAGAGCTTCTTGGACCCCAGCGTAACCCGGAAGGTGAAGTGTGAGGCAGGGAGGCCCCACCTTGTTGCCCGTTATAGTCCTGTGGGGTTTGGGGGGCAACCCCTGTGACTTGGGGTGGGATGTCTGCTTCTGAGCAATGGGAGTTGGGTTTCTGGGTTCGGAGGCCATGGGCCTGGAGTGGCTGGCTCCTAACAGAGGGAAGGCTTGTAGCTGCCCTCTTGTGTCCCCTCCCTTTCCTTTTCTACCCCTTTTGTTTGTACTATAAAGTTGGATCGGGGGCTGCCAATAGTGACAGGAAATTCCATGTTTACAGAAGTTCAGGAGGAGAGTGCAGGAGTCAACCAAAGTACTGAGGGAGCTGGAGATCTCACTTCGTACCAACCACATTGGGTGAGTCAGAATCGGCCATCAGGATCCGGCGACCTCTGAGGATGGGTGGCTTGTTTATCTCCCTGCTGTGAGGCACAGTTGCCCCTTGAATGGCTTTTGGTTCCCCGGAGCTTCAGACTGTTCTTTTTCTGGCTTCTCTCCCTTTCAGCTCTGCCAGCTGCTGGCAAGCTTGGGGCCCCTCCTGGGGTCTTCAGCCTGTGGCTTTAAGTAGAAGTCTCTCCCATCGCAGCTGAGACTCAAGTCTGCCTGTGGCCTGGGGCTGGGCCAAGGGAGGCCCAGAGTGTGCTGGGGGCGGGGGAGCACATTGCATCAGGTAGCTGAGACCTCGTTCCTGGACTGTTTGGTGCCCACAAGACTATTTTCTTGATTCTAAGACAGTCGTAGGTCATGAGCAGAAGCAGCTTCCTAGGGCACCAAGAAAGTCGATCTAAGGTGGCGGGGACCAGGAACTGAACATCTTCTGTATCTACAGACCCTGGTACTGCCGGCCCATTGACAGGGTCCCTAGGAACGGCGTGAGTCTTGTTTGCTAGTCTCTGAGTAGGGAACCAGAACTTGCTGAACAGACCGCAGGCTAATGCCTAAGGTACAGTGACAGATGGCAGTGGTCTTGGTTTTATAAAACCGTAACCAGTCAGAGCATATGTAGTGAAAGTGAGAGAGAGAGTGTACACAAAGGAGAGTGAGGGAAACCTGATGGAGGACTGCAGGCGGGGCTACCATCCTGACCGAGGGGCCGGGCACAAATACTGAGAGCTTGTGTGAGTGAGAAGCTGAGCCGGGGGTGGGGGTGGGGGAGGCTGGGCAGGGGCCATCCCCAGGGTCCTGGGCTTCCTGAGAGCAGGGGTGGAAAGAGCCGAATGACATCATCTGCCTTTCCCCTCCTGCCCGTGGCAGCCTCCCGCTTGTCCACGCAGGGCCAGGCCTGCCTGGGACTCTTACAGAAGCTACCTGTGTGCCCCCAACCACCACTGTAGCAGTCACGGGGGAAATGGCACCGGAGAGAACAGGAAAGGGATAGTTCCTGGCCTCAGCAGCTGTGCTTAGTGGCCAGAATTGGCTTCCACACCTCTTCCATGAACCAGAGTAAAAGCTGACATGCTAGCAAACGTGAAACTCAGCCTGCAGCTGTATTTGGTGAATCCTCACAGAAGGAGTGGCAGGGCCTCCTCAGCTACCCTGTGTGTTTGGGGGGGGTGGGGGGAGGTGAAACAGATGGTGACTCCAAATCCCACCTACCACCCTGCACACCACCCCGCAGGGCCTTCCACCACTCCCCTCCCTCTCAGGCCCCCCTTTCTTTCTTAGTAGGTCTTGCCGCATGAGGATGGGAGCCTGTTCTTCTCAGAAGAGGGCCACAGAGCCGTGTGTGACACTCCCCTCTGCTCACCCCTTCTACCTGGTGCCTGCCTCTCTGGCCACTGGCCAGGAGCTGGGGCGAGAGCAGCATGGTTCCCAGGCCCGGGGCCTCTTGGCAGTTGGCACACAAGTTAGAGGTCTGGACCTGGCCCTTGGTTCCCAGGGAACAGCTTCGTGTCTGGCATATTAGGAGCTCCTGTCGTCTGAACTGTGGTTTCTCTGGGCAGTTGTGGGGGAGGACCAGGCTCCTTCCCAGATTTCTAGGCAGGAAGAGTTTGTGAGGCTGTCAGGCCGCGGTGTGGGTGCTCCGGGGTGGTAGGAGCCCAGGGCAAGGTGGGGAGAGGAGGATCCTGCTTCTGTCACAGCCTGATCAGCCCCAGGGCCTGCCGAAGCTCGTTGTGTAGGGGCAGCCCAATGGGAACACAGGCCCTGGCGCGGGGCAGGCTGGAAAGTGGGATTCCAGAGCCTCACCAGCTCCTCCTCCCTCTGGTTTGTATTGGTTTCTCTGCCTTGCCGAAGTGCCCTTTAACCTCTCCTCAAAGTGTCAAGATCCCGAAAATAGCAGTGTAGACTCAGACAGGAAATGAGAAGGGGGTGGGGAGCTGGAGAGCAGACAGACAGGAAACGGGAGGCCTGTCGGCCCCCAGAGAGGAAGCTAACTTCAGGCAGCTCCGGTGTCAGTCAGCCTCAGCTGAGCCTGGTGCTCCGGCCCAGCCTCTCACTGTGTCCCAGGGTGTGGCCAGCAAACATGGCGCTGGTGTTCCAGCTGTGGGAGAGAGGCGGCCCTGCAGGGCTGTTGGGGGCAGCTGCCTATAAAGACCCCCAGACATCCAAGGGAACAGAGCACTGAGGAGAGTCGGGGTTTTATCCTGAGAGTTTTATGTTGCTCTGTGCCATGGAATGAACCTGTCCTGTAACAGCCCTCCTGGGATCGGTTCTTGAATTTCCTTCCAGGGATATCTCAGGCCAAGAGGCCTGCAGGCAGAAGGGTGGAAATGCCAGGGTCCATTGTCTTTACGGTCTTTGTTGTCCACCTTCCTGCCTCTCTGGCTGAAGGGGCCTAAGTCTTCAGGGAGTTACTCGAGTCCCTGACTGTTCCCCCATCCTTTTCCTATTCTGTCAAACTCACCCTGACCAAACACACAGTTCCCACATATCCCTCTTTGCTCACTGTGGCCCAGACTATCTTTCTCTGAACTTGGTGGAAGGGCCCTTTGGTCCAGCATGTCTCTGTTCCAGAGCTCTCTCTCTTTGACCTTTCTTGCCTGTCTTTCGACGGAGACTTCAGTCCAGCTGGAGACGTGCTAGACCTTGTCAGGCACAGCTGTGCACGAGGGCCTATGGTAAATGCTCTTGATCAACCTCCCCATGTCCCCACAATTTTGCCAATAAACATCAGGCAGGGACAGCACACTCGGTGTTGTGCTAGACACCAAGGACACAGTAAATGATTGAGCCAGGGCCCTGGCCATTTAGGAGAGGCTTCCTGAAAGCTTGTGTGGCTGACATGGTATTGGAAGGCCTTGGACCTTTCCCCATCCCTGGCTCCCCGGCCTAGCAGAGGTCTAGGCCCGTGATGTGACCACGGAATGGGTCTGCCATGGGTTTTGAACCTCAGAATTTTTCCAGCCTGGTGCTAAGTTCCAGAGGATTCAGGAGTGGGTGTTGGGTCAGAGGCCTCTCGCCCTTCTCACCCTCGACCCGCTTTTAGCAGACCCCTCCACTATGTTTCCTCTATTGGCAGGTGGGTGCGGGAGTTTCTGAATGATGAAAACAAAGGCCTGGACGTGCTCGTGGATTACCTGTCCTTTGCCCAATGTTCGGTCATGTGAGTACCTCCCTGGGGCTAGGGTTGGGGACAGCGAGGGAGGACACAGTCCCATTCTGATTTGCTGAGGAAGGGTGAGACTGCAGTAGTGAAGACAGGAATAGGCGTCCCAGGCCAGGAGGGAAGAGCCCAGGCAGTGGCGTGGGAGTGGACAGGCAGCCAAGGAGATGTCTGGGATCCGTGAAGAAGGCCAGGTGGCTGGAGCAGAAGGAGGGAGATATGGAAAGGGAGCTCAGGATTAGAACCCAAAGGATCCAGACTCCAGGCTGCAAGCAGTCCAAGGAAATGTCCTGGCTTCTGGGAGAGACGCCCAGTGGGATTCATTTGCCTTTGGAGAGTTGAGTCTTTAAGAACCTCCTTTGGGTCTCCAGATGTGAGAGGGTTACTCCAGGTCATTGCTGAAGAAGAGCCCCAGGAGCAGTGAGCATGACCTTTGACCCACACTGAAAATGAAGTATTCAGAGCCCTTTTCAATCCAGTGGGGCGGGTCCCTCAGCACAGGAGTACAGATGAGAAGGCGGCATGAGGTAGTGAAAAGGACCGACAACCGCAAAGCTGGTTGTGGGTCTCAGTTATGTCCTTGACTATCCGGGTGACCTCAAGCACATTTGCATCCTCTTACAGAAAAGGGGATCCATGTTCCAGAGTTGTTGTAAGGTTGAGATGATAATGTGTGTAAAGCAACTAGTAGTGTTCGGAACGCAGTAAGTCTAAACTGCTCTAGCCACTTTATTGTTAATTATTGTTATTCAAGGTGGTATAACCTACCATAATTGCCTGAATATATGGAAAGAGGGATTATACTGATCATTCACGTGATGACCGATGAATGCTTCAGACTTAGAGCCAGGACTTCAGCCCTTGGCTGACCAATCGTCCCAGTATGCCCGTGACTTTTCCCAACGTTAGCACCGAAAGTCCCGAGTCCTGGGGAACTCCCTAGTCCTGGGACTCAGTCCTAACCTCGGCTTTCACTTTTGTTGTGACTGTCCTTACCCCACGGCCGTTCTCCTTGGTCCAGCAGATCTTCAGTCTTAGCTCTTTAGGGGTTCGGACTAACGCCTCTCCTCGGTTTGGCCTGTCACTTTTCCCAGGTCATCCCCCCTTAAAACCAAGAGTGGCCTACTCCCCGTTCCCATCCCTGCAGAATTCAGGCCTCGTGATCCTCCTCTCCCTTTAAAAACTACTCTTTTTATAGAAAGAAATGAAAAACATTTGCTGAAGTGATTTTTTTAAAAAAATTCAGAGCTTTTATAGTAAAAAGATGCAGATCATTTTTCCAAATAAGCCTATCTATCCCGTTCGAAAAGCAAACAGATCCCAGCTGCTTGAAACCAAAATACGCTGGATCCTCAGGATTGTAGTGTCCACAGCAGTGCTTTTGACTCTGTTTTCGAAAGAAAGATTCAGGGCAGGGAGAGGGTGTGAAAGGGAGAGAAAGTGTGTTTTGGGAAGGGTTGAAAGGAAAAGGGTGAAGCCAAACAGAGGCTGGGTGAAGGCATTTATCTGTAAACTGCGGTACCGGCACTAGGGAATACAATTACTGACTGAGGGGGGCCACTGGCAAGGTTCCCTGTCAGGGAGCCTCCTCTGATGTTTGCTTGAGAGCCCCATTAAGCAGCTCAGCATTGGGACTCTGCAGCCTACTCCTGCTCCTTTGGAACATTCAGTCGCCTGCAGATATCATTTCCTATTTCAGAAATGCCTCTGACCCTGGGGCTATGAATGTCTGAGCAGAAGGTTCCTCGGGGGAAGAGCCTGTCGGATATGCTCGTTCAGTCCTTAATGACCTACTTGGGGGAAGAGGACAGGAAAGAAAAGTGGGGCTGGTTTCTCAGAGTGGGTATATCCTGACGTGGGGCTTCGTAAAGGACAATGCCCCGTGATCTCAAGCCATCCTCCTTGTTCTGGCCACACTCCCAAATTGCTGGTGGCAATCACAGAAGTAGAAAGTGACAGAGAAACCATCCCAACTCCTGTAGGGACGAAGGTCCCCAGTCCACACCCTGGACCTGTGATTTCTTCCCCTGGGAAGCCTCTATTCCAGAAAACCTAGCAGTCTCAAGTAGAACCACGGAAAACCCAGCCATTAAAACCCAGTGCTGGGATGGGACCATGGTACTCTTGAACCTAGTGGAGTCTCCCACTCTAGGTTGGCTGGGACCTCCGTTCCCTTCCATTCAGACCTGCCCTCGTGAGCCCATTCCAGAACCAGCCAGGCCCCTTCAGGGCACTGAGAGGCCCCATTGGCCACTGCCGTTTGCCAACCAGCAAGACCTGCGTTGGCCTGTTCCCCACCACCCTTGCACAGAGCGGATTCTCCGTGGGGAGACATGGCTTCTCCGAGACTTGCTATCTAAGGCTGGGAGTGCAGAAAGCCTCCCTTTGGGCCCATGGAGAGGTCACTCCTGGAGTCGCCTGGCCAGCGGGGCACCGCAGCTCACCCCTTTCAGCATTCCCATCCCCTCACATCCCCCTCTTGGTTGCTGTCTGTGCCTCTGCTGCCCTTGTCCTGCGTGGGTGGCTCTCCCAACCAGGGCTGGGTCTCTGCCGCCCAATTCCGCTTTCTCTTCTTGCTGGCCTTGCTTCTGATTGCCCTCAAGGTCTACGGGGCGGGGGTGGGCCGGCCCGGGGGCTTAGCACTGAATTTCTCCTGTGTGTGCGCTTGTGTGTCCTTTCCTGCTCCAGGTTTGACTTTGAGGGTCTGGAGAGTAGTGACGATGGTGCATTTGACAAGCTCCGGTCCTGGAGCAGGTCCATCGAGGACCTGCAGCCACCCAGCGCCCTGTCAGCCCCCTTCACCAACAGCCTCGCTCGCTCTGCGCGCCAGTCTGTGCTCCGGTATGTGTGCTCTTTGCTCTGCCCACCTGCCTCCCACCCTAGCCCCCCAGTCCAGGTCTTGGGTGCCAGGGGGTGAGTGCTCATTGCTCCTCCCCCCACTCTTGCTTCCAGGCTCAGCTCTCTTGCCCTCTGCCTGCCAGTCTGTCTCTGGTCTGTCCTCTCTGTCTCCTTGACTCTGCCCAGCAATCTGTCCTGGGTAAGTACATCGCCCTCGGCTGAGCCCACCCCATCTGGGGTTCCAGTTCTCCCCTCTCCACACTCCCCTCTAGGGCCTCCCCCTCCCCATTCCTCTTTTTCATTCTGCCACTCCTGCCGGCCTCTTGGGTGGGGCCGGCCCTCATCCAGCTCCCTCCTCTTCAGGGGGTGATGAGCTCCTGCCCTCAAGTCTGTTTCCCTCTGGCTCTGCATTCTGCCCCATCAGCTGCTCCGAGACCAGCTCCCCCCAAACCTGCCCGCAACTCACCTTCCCTTCCCTTCTTCCTTTTCTCTCCAAGCCTGCCTTGTGTTCTTTTTTTTTTTTTTTTTTTTGCAGTATTTTAGGAGCCGTCCTGCCCGGAGGCAGGTGGATAGACCAGATGACTTTCAGAGCCCCCCCTCCTACCCAGGGGGGCTCTCCTTTGGGCCCTGTGGCGCTTTCTGTGGTCTGTGTTCCTCTTGTGGCCATGCTTTTCTCCTGGCCTCCTTTTGTCCCTCTGACCCTGCTCCTCATTCTAGTCATTCATGCATGAGCGGACACCATTTGTGCTTCCTCTTTCTTTCATGAAACATCACTGGGGGCCAAGCCAGATGTAGACCCTGGCCCTGCTATTGCCTTTGGGGTCTGCTCTGCCCTTTCTGGGATGTAGAAGTGGGATGGGAGCCAAGATGCTCCGGCCCCAGGGAATTTGTGGAAGATGCAGCGACTGGAAGGAGGAGGAGGACAGGCTCAGATGAACGTCTCCCTGGATCCATCTTGAGGACTAGAAAGGCCTGCACGCCTGCCGTTGTATTTTGGAGGGCCCCTGGGCTCAGGATGGTTTGGGCCCTGATTATAAAGCTGGGATCCCGGGTAGTTACTCACAAAGGCCTGTGGCAGAGAGGTGAAAATTGCTGAGCACCCTGCCCCCACCTCCCCCACCACTCTCGAGGCTGTCGGTTCAAGGTCCCCTGTCCCCCTGTCCTGCTGCGGAGGTGCGACCTGCTGTCCGGGTGATGGGGAGCGCTCCTGGACCCTTCACCAGCAGCCCCCTCTCCCCCAGGTACAGCACTCTCCCTGGGCGCAGGGCCCTGAAGAACTCCCGCCTGGTGAGCCAGAAGGATGATGTCCACGTCTGTATCCTTTGCCTCAGAGCCATCATGAACTATCAGGTAAGGGGGCAGCACTGGCCACGGATGCTCTGCCTGTCCTGCCTCATCTGCCAAACTAGAAGAGCTGGGAGGGCACCAGCTTGTAAAAGGCGAGTTTGCTGACAGGCTGATAGTCAAGGAGATCCAGCAGGGAGCTGCCCTCCCACCATCAAGGTCTTCCTTCCTTGTTACAGTACGGCTTCAACCTGGTCATGTCCCACCCCCACGCCGTCAATGAGATTGCACTCAGTCTCAACAACAAGAATCCAAGGTGAGTTCCTTCCCTCCCCTCTCCTCCCCACTGTGCCCAGGGCTCTGGAGATCTGGGCTCCACTTGACCCTGACAACAAGTCCCGCCTGCCTGGCCTCAGGGACCGGCGGCCTAGGCCAGCGCCTTGGTTCTGCTCCTTCCGCTGGAGGAGGAGTGTCCCTGGCTTCCCTCTGGTCTGCCCAGCTCAGTGAGGGGGCAAGCCTTCCTACCCCTGCTTTCTTTCCAAAACCCACTCCCCTCACTTGTGAGGCTGTCTCCACTCTGAAAGGACTCGCCTGGTTGTGGAGGGGAACTGTGTGGTGGCCAGGGTGGGGAGCTAAGGGGTTAATCTTTTTTCTTCACCCCTTAGGACCAAAGCCCTTGTCTTGGAGCTCTTGGCAGCTGTGTGTTTGGTGCGGGGAGGTCATGAAATCATTCTTGCTGCCTTTGACAATTTCAAAGAGGTCAGTCTCCTACGTGTGTGTGTGTGTGTGTGTGTGTGTGTGTGTGTGTGTGTTTGGTGAGGAGGTGGGGAGCCAGGTAGGTAAGCACCCTTTCCTGTGATCTCACACATCCCAGTGATGATTTTAACATCCTGTGCTTAACTAAGAAGCCTGCCCCCTCTACTTTTTTTTTTCTTAACACCAAAACCAGAACTTCCGCCTTACCAGATCTTATGGCAAGACAGATCCTGAACGGCCAGCTAAAGAGGTCCTCACTTTTTTTTTTAAGATTTTATTTATTTATTTGACAGAGAGAGACACAGCGAGAGAGGGAACACAAGC